GGGCCCGGTGATCTGCGCCTGCTGCTGCCTGCTCGCGGGGCGTCTCTCCTTTGGCAAGACGAAACTCTGTCTTCTGGCTCTCCTGCGGTCCTAAAGTGGCCGAAAGCATCAGAAACATCAGTAGCTGCTAAGTATGCCTTAAGTCATCACTTCCAAGACGTGTCTTTGGCTAAACAAGCCTCTGTTTGTATCCTAGTGGGGGTGCGCAGCTGCGCAGGTGCCAGCGCGGGCAAGTTAGGAGCTCTGCTTTTTCTGTTCGTATGGATTTGAGAGTGAAACGCGTTAGTCAACTAGGGTGGTAAACCCTAGTACCAGGTTCCTCTCTGTAGTAAAGCTTGCACAATGAGGAAGTGCTGGAGGAATACGGTGTTGGTGTGTTTTGTAGGTTAGGCTGTTTTGCATATTACTTGGGCAATGTAGTGACATGATTCGAACCAAAATTATTTTATTTCTTTTAGCACTTACTCTAGCATTATCAGTAGTTGTCACTGAATGATACGAAGAGATTTGAATGCAAATTGGTTGTAGAGCCAAAGTAGCTGTAAATGAAACTGAAAACATAATGATGGAGAACTTTTTAAAAAACGATAGAACATGTTTGAAGCATGTTTTGATTTGTTTCTGTTTAGATAATGGAGTCTCTTAGCTCTGGCAACATTCCTGAGACTAAATCACCAACACAGCATGAAAGTGAAGATGACATTGAGTTCATTGGAGTAAGTAGATCTTGGGCTTGGGAACATATTGCACATAGTAGTGAGTACTTTCTCAGTAGTTGTATAAAATATGAGTTTTTTCTATACTGTATTTATGATCTTGATTATATTTAATTCAAAAATCTTTGTGGCAGGCAGCAAGTTCTTCTAAAGGGACTTTTGACAATGTCTTTGGAAGAGTAGAAGGTAATGTCATGTGGTGCTACAGAGAGAGAGTAGACTTGAGTATCTCAGCAGAGGAGTGGGGGATGCAAAGTGCATCCATGGTCAGTGAGGCATATGAGAAGGCTACTAATCACTGTAATTTTTTTTTTTTTGTAGTCATGTTGCCTGACATTTTGCTTAATGAATAGTCCCATTAAAATTAATGAAACAAAGTGCTGCTCAATCTGCAAAACAACGTCAAAAAACACTATATGTCTATAGCTGGAGAAAGGAAAGAAATAATGGAGTAAAGGCCTTTATCAGCAGTGTACTCGAGCACAGTGTAATAGCTACATATTCTAATGCTGACCCGTGGCTTGTGTGAATATAACTTTAAGATATTTACATCTGTTGAATGCGCAGGAAAAGCATAACATTTTTCTTGCTGCCTGTGTTCTGGCCTCAATACATCATCAGTGAAATGGTGCCCTATGGGAGGGATACATGCAAGAACAGAAAGGTGATTTCCGTTAAGGAACAAGTCATTCAAATAAGACCAAGTATAACTGATACCAGGACTGATAATGGCTAGCTCCCTATGAATTTGTCTTATTGTTAATGGTGAGTAGTGATTGACATTTGCACAGTTTTTACGCTAGCTCTCATGTAGATTTTTTTTTCTGTGTGCTGTCCAATGAAGTCTAAATTCAACCTGCAGACTTTCCCTCTCCAGAGGTATTTAAGTGCTCAAGTATGAGAGGCACACACGTATTTTTGCTAAAATTATAAGTACTTGATTATCTCTGAGACTTCTCAGTCTGTTAGCTGAATTTGATAAAAACTGACTAATAAGTTCAAAATTCATTATATATGCAGACAAGTATTCAAGTTTTAATGTGTAGCATAACTGTATAAACTTTCCTTTTCTAATATACCGGGCTAAGAATGAGGAAGCTTTGGATGTGTAATGATTGAAGGGCTGTGGGAGGAACCTGCAGCACCAGTTAAAGAAAAGAGATTTATTAAAATCAACCTTTTTATTGCTTTTGCCTATGTATATCTGATCCTTTCTGGTCCCAGGGATGACTGATGCTGAGAGAGACAGCTATATGTAGGAAGAAGGCTTCTTAGGCTCAGTTCTTAGGCTTGCTCTCCTTGGGCAAGGATATTGCTGCTGCCATTGAATACATGGGGGAAGGATGTCTGAAATTGGCCATTAGCTAATGTTAGCAATGATCCCTCTTTCCGATCTGTCATTTACTCCTACTCTCACACGTCTCTGAAGAAAACTTGCATTTTGCGAAAGGACTTCTAAACTATTTGCCTAGCTTTAAATGAGCCTTCTGGTACAATGTGCGCATGACTAGAAGTGTACAAGCTTTATAAATTTTGTGTATGAATGCTCTCTGATCATTCAAATACTGTTTTCTGCACGTACCAAGAACCCAAAACACCCAGACCACTAGTGATATTGTATGAACTGAGTTAGAGAAGCCCACTTGGATATCTCAACCTATGATCATTTCGAGTAAAAGCGAATAGTTGTAGGCCATATGCTCTCTGTGTTTTTCTCTTTTCTTGAAAGGTTTTTTTTTTCCTATTTTGTTTCATTTTTTGCTATTTTGATCACTCTTTTTGGGGATTGGAATTCTTAACCATTAGACTATGCTCCTTCAAATGAAGGCTTTTCTTCAAAAGCAATCCCTGCCGCTGCCAGAGTTGTCCACCTTCTACAGTCAGATTCACACTCGTTCAGGAAACTTCTGATTGTTCTTTCATGATTTCTTACCCTTTAATTCTGCATTACAACATACCTTGTCCACTTAAAATCATTAAATTCTAACTTTGCAGACAGGCAGAAAAAGGTGGTTTAATCTACAATGCATGCCATGATTGTTAGTGACTTAATAACTTGCAATAGGATGTTCTGAACCTCATCCTTTTTCCTTAGGAAGTATAAGGCAAGAATAAAGAGGTTCACAGGTTTAATATGGTTTGTAGCCTGTATGTAGACAGAGTCATTTAATGAGTAGAACAATTAAAATAGCCCATTTTTGAAAACTGTTCCATGAAGTTGTTTTCACTACTGATAAAAAATAGGGATTTCTACCAGATGTCCTGAGTGGTACCTGTAATAAGAAGCTTTATAGTGAATCCATATAGCGCATGCAGAATATTTACTTTACTAGTAAATAGCCACAAAGTGCTGGTAGTTAGCAGAGGAGCGCTATAGCAAAACAGTGTAATGTGGTATGTGACAGAAATTCACATGACACGTTAGAGAAAAAAATTGCAGCTTTAAAGGCTGAGGATGAAGAACAAGTGCTGTTATAGACTGTGTTTCATCATCCTTACATCAAGGCTATATTGGTTCTGTTTGGGATTCAGAATTCAAGGAGACCTAATATGAACTTCTATGTGGAGATCAAGAGAAGGAATATGGTATGACAGCATGAAACTGTCTTGCCTAGAAAACTCAGAGCTGACCTACTTATCTCCAGTTACTGCTTGAACCTGATTCTAAGTTGTTAATTAGCCACACTCAGAATGGTAATTAGCCACAGTCAGAATGGTATAGAGAAAGGAAAGATACAAAAAATTATTTAATGTTTATATTTTTTCCTTTAATTATTGGGTCCCTCAAAAGTCTAAAGATAGATTTGAAGAGCACATGGCCATCAGATGTACCGAAATCAAGTGATTTGCTGAAAATTAGTAGTTATGATTTAAAGGTTTTATTTTGTTTCCAGGTGAATTGTTGAATACTTGAGTTTTTATATTAATGTGTCTCTCTGGCTTTTAGTTGCATCCTAGTAGGTACTGAAGATGATTTTGCAGGATTAGGAATAATCTGAAGCAGAATTTTTACCTTTGTTCCCAACCCAAGTCAGCCAAGGATTTAGATTTTTGTATTTACTAGACTAGAGAAGTGAAAACTTTCTAAGTGCACATTGGTTTACAGCTTCGATCAGTTACTAAGCTGGCTTAAAGTAGGGAGTCTGTTGGGACAAAGATTTAGAGCATAAATAATACAACATGAGTCAGATTTTATGTTTTAGTTTAAGCTCTACTTGTTCAGCAATAATAAATGTGATTACATGTAGATACACGTGCGTGCTCACATAATTATTTTGTCAAATATACGTTAACTCTGTAGTACTGTATATGGAAAGTCAGTTTCATGCTTTGTATATACTAGTATAGGTATAATTATGCAAATGTTTAATTGTGCTTTTTATGTAAACTGGGTATATGGTCTGAATGTACATAAAGCTAAAAACTGAACAAACAAACAAAGCCTTACGTGAAATATGAGTGGATTAGCTGGCTTTTGGCTAGGTCTGATAACCGCAGACAGATGAAAAGGAGGGGAAGGAAGTGAGACCAGAATTTAGGACTTTTAGGAAAACTTCTTGAAGTAATGGAGATGATCTTCACAGAACTCCTTGAAAAGAAGTTTTCCTTGGAGACAAATCTGAGGCTTCATCTTTATCAGCTGCTGACTAAACGAACTTGATTATTTTCACTGCTACAGTTGGTATTTTGCGTAGCATGGTGGCATTACAGTTTTGTTAATTTATTGCTAATATTTTCAGCCGAAGCCATGTGTAACAGCAGGACACCAGAGCTGTCTGGAGTCTCAAAAAATACTTTTCTATCAGTTCAAACAAAGAAGTTCTTCTAGTAACTAAAATACCTTCTATTTAGCTATCAGCTTATTGTTCTATGGAGTGGTTGTTGGTGACAAGGCTGGCTTTCAAAGGTTGTTTATAAAAGTAATTGAGAATCGGAACTGCTTTAGAGTGAAAGACCTGCTTATAGTATATGAGGACTGAGGCTCCGTATTTGCTTAGTACCAAGCATTGATGACTTCCTGGGTGCCATATGATGACTATGGTCAGTTAAAGAATCCACAGATTTTCAAGCTCTTCTTTGAGTACTTGTCCGTGTTGGTTTTTACTGCAATCTCGGGCTCATGTGTGCCAAGATACTTTCTAGCTGGTGGAGTTCAACTTCTGGAGAGATACAAAGAGCTGGATGAAGCTAACTATTCTTCAGCTCCTTTATTCTCCTAACACTGAAATGGAATCCTCATGCTTGGCACTCTCTGCCCTATGTTACTGGTTTTTTTTTTTTTTTTAAACTTTCAGATTGGAGCTGGTCATGTGCTGAGGTGATCCAGCAGAACAAAAGCTAAATTGCTGCTGTTCAAAACTTTCCCTTTATGTGGTATTAGAGTATTAATTGGGAATGATTATTAGTAGTACTTGCTGTGCCTCTGGAAAAAGGGTGTTTTACCTGGCACCGCTTCTCCAAGCGAGCTCAGAAATATAGGAAGTCCCTCTGAAGGTACTGCTTACATCACAGAGGCTTTCTGAGAATTTGAGCTTTTAAAGGGAAGAATAGTCCTGACTTCCATCAGGAAGACTTACGTCCTGGGCCACTACATTGAAAGGCTTTGAACTTCAGCTTTCAATCTGGTACCAATGTCCTCTGGGCAGAGAGGAGCTCTGCTGTCAAAATAAGCCCTGGCTGAAGTCACTATCTCTTTAGAAGACGTATTCCGACTTTCTTCTGTATAATGTTGCTCTGCTAAGATGGATCTAAAGCAATGTTGTGATATTTAATGATGGCTCTCAGTCAAGGATACTCACACATTGACTTAAGCAGCTGCTGAATAGATGTACTGAATACAGGATTACACTGCTTTCCCTGATTCTTATGCTTTCTCAAAGTATTGTTGCAGCCTGTTTGAATTTTTGATTTGACCCAGGACAGTAGTTCTTGTATTTTTAATATCAATATATTTTTTGTGGTTTCAGTCACTTTTATAAAAGTTAAGCCACCAACCAATCAAAAACTAACTAGCCCAAAACCTTAATTTGAGGTTTGCCTTATTATTCAGGAGTGTATATAGACAGACGTCATGTATTTTCATATTTTGTGTATATAGTCATGTTTGTTTTTTCCCTCTTGGAAAATAAGGAAGTATCTCTTCTTTGAGAAGTCATTGTAAAAAGTTGTCATATCGCATTCCTGTTTAAATTAGAATACAAACCAAACAAAAAATTGTTTAGTAAAAGGTACACGATACAGAAGGAAAAAAGAGAGAATATATTTCATGTATGCAAACAATATTACTTGTGATTAATTGAACTTACTATTTTGGTCACTAGAACTTGCCAGACTTGAATGCAAGTTTCTCTGTTTTTCAGTTTGCAGCTTCCTAACTCTTAATTAGTTAGTTGCTGAATTGAACTGAGTTAGTCAAATAAACAGAAATAAGGAAAATCTGTATATATTTGAAGAAACTACTGCTTTTATAATCAGACCTGAACATTTCAAAACCACTTATTGAACAGGTTGGACGGTCAGGAGATTTGAGTGTGTCTTTAAACTGTCACCTGCTAACACTTGTTGTTGCTAATAGTGATTTAATTTCTTATAAATTTACAGAGGTTGTCAGTTTCTACCAAACCAAATCTTTATTAGTTTTTTTTTTTTTTTTTAGATTTCATTTAGAAAAGCAAATTCTCTTTGTTTACTTAAATGTAAAAAGTTAGGCATTCCTTTAAGGTAATTGGCAGCCTGCAGCTCAGTTCATAGAAGCTTTTATTATCTTCTCCAGCATCTGATTCCTCTTCCTCTGCAGTGAGACAGTGAAGACTGGTTAAGCCTGGCCAACTGAATAGCTTTAAAGCCTTAAAAGGTGGAAGAATGGAAAGAATGGGGTGTAGTAAACACAGCAGAGGGAATTGCATGCTGCTGCAGTTGTTTCTGCTACTTTTCATGAGGCAATACATCATCTTAGCCTACCCTAGTTGATATAGTTTTTAAGACATTCAGGACACCGCCAAATATATGGCTGAGACAGTAGATACAGTACTGCACCTCTTAAGATGTTCAGCAGCGTGCTGAATTCTTGAAGTCTGTCGTTTGTGTAGAAAACTTAACTTGCTAGCAAAGAATATCTTTGGGGTATATAACAGTTCTGCTGCATCTGCCAGCATCATTGCCAGACAAATGGCTAGTGCTGCAGTTTAGTGAAAAACTTTACATGCAGTACAGTCTACATAATGTTATACAAACTTAAGCAAAAAAAACCCTAAAACCATATTTGTTCTTGTTTTATTTATTTTAATGTTAGACAATAACTTTCAGCATCTAGCGGAGATGGGAAGCTTCTTAGAGCATGTCGAGATTTTAGTTGACTTTGCATCTTACTGCGTAGTTGCCACAAAAATGAGGCAAACATAGTTACCAAGAAGGATATGTACGTTCCTAAGCAATGATCGTGTATATGAGTAAGGGTAACTGGAAATACTTCTGCTTGGTGTATGTAGACCCGCTCATCCTGTGCCATGTTTGTTGTACGGCTTATTTAGTTGACATGTGATAAGTAGTAGCATATGTGGGTTTTCTGCGTGACATCAGACTATGTGTATATAGTCCTCCTTTTTTGCCTTTAAAAAATGCTAATTTTGATTTTTCTAACTTTAGAATCTCATTAATTAAAGTTTAAAAGTATAATTTCTTAGCGCCTTGCTTTTCTGTGGTTGTGCCAACATTCTGCCTTCTACTGCTGCAGAGATTTGTAACAGAAAATGTTAAAGCTGGTCTGAATGGAGAGTGAATGGGAATATATGGATGTGGTAGCACCAGACAGAATTACATTAGAAGGGATATAAAGGGCTATAAGAACAGCAGATGTTGATACTGTCTAGATTAGAAGGTCATCAGGGTCACAGACTATCAGCATGAGTTTTCTCAAGGAAAACAAGGGACAGCCTTCGTCCAGTCTAAAACCAAGGCTTGAACCGTTAAGATGATGGCAAGAAGATAAAAAGCAGGGTTAGCACCCTAAGACACTTGAGAAGGGGGCAAAAGACAGTGAATAAATCTTAGTGATTCCCAGAGGAGGGACAGGATGGAGAGATGAAAATTCTTAAGTATCCGAGAGCAGGACATTGCTACCAAGCTAGGAAGAGTCTAGAAGATGTGATGTGATAAATACCTGATAGCCAGGATCCTTTGTCCTCTGTGTCACTGCAGGGAGTCCTGACCAAACTGCCTGGATGTATGTCTTGGTGACCAAGTGCCGAGCAGACTGCTTAGGCACATGTCATGGTGCTTGTGAGGTATGCCAGTATTAGCAGGAGTGGATGAAATGTGTTTTCTTTTAAAGTAAAATCACCTTCCCCTCCTTTTATGATTTTTAATAAAAAGAGAATGACCTGCTTGTGGACTCTCTGCTTAGAAGTGAATGGACTTCAGGGCGTACATGTGTATGAAGCTATTTTCTGCTTTCTTAATGTCTGAAGTACATAAGGAGTCCAATGGCTTTTGGAGCTGGCATGTAATTTAAATTGTGTCTCAACAAGCCAAACACATTTGGCCTTGGTTAGTGAAATGTAAGGCTGTTTTTGTCTTGATAGCAGTCTGACGCCGTAGTACCATTGAAGAAATGGCAAGTTGAGCACCTATGAATAGGAATATATCTTCTAAATTGATTGAGAAGGTGAAGAATATAAGGCTATTGAGCAGGCTGAGATTGTTCACTTTACTTTTGCTAGTTGATGTTTGTATGTTAAGTTGATGTTTTTAATTATTTGTGGATATTTATTTATGTGTGTGTTTTACTAACACGTGGTCGTGCATTAGCCTATTAAGTGGAAAAGTTGCACTGCAGGAATCTCATCAATAAACTCTTGAAACCTTGTAGAAATTCCTTTTCAGATGGTGTAATGCTACTGTGTGTTGTAATGCATTTAATGCTTTATCTTCAAGAAAAATAATTTAATGCTTCTGTGTGTGTATGTTTTTAACCCTTTCTCAGGAAGGGCCTTTAAGACCAGTACTTGAATGCATTGATCTTGTAAGTAGTGAAGATGAAGAACCGAACAGCAGTGCTTATACTCATGTGAGTATGTCATAAGGTACCTTGGGATTCTCATTTGAAAAGATAATTACCTTCTGTATATTCCCCCTCAGCTACTCTTCCTGAAATGGCTTGTTGGAGGTATTTTGAACAAGAAATAAGTAAGCCAACACTTAAAATTTTTATTTTTATCTACTGTTGAGTGGAAGGCAAGTAAGCTAAACTTCTTTTTTTACCCCAGTGATGCTTTTTTACCTTCTTGAAATGAATTTACAGCTTTGATTTAGCTTTCAGTGGTTTTCACAAATACAGTGAAGAAAAGGAAAGGAAAATGTCATCGTAGAAGTGACTTGATATGTCAGTGTGTCCGTACTCTAGCCTGCTTCCAGATCTTTTCCTCCTAAAAGGACTCTTAGGGGCAGTTTTGTGCGCTAGAGGAGCTTATTTTGATGAAACCTGATTTTAACCCAGCTTCATCTTTCCTCAGCTGTCCTACGAATTTTTAAGTCAGAAGCAGGCTGGTCATCACCAGAACAACTCACGTATCCCCCAAGCTGATTGTGCCCGCTCTAGGAGGCCTTAGAGAGGGGTAATGACAGGGCATAGGCTGTTTGAATTGTTGTGGCAGCGGCAGCCCTCTCTTGACTTTTATTTTCCAGTGTTGCAGAAGACAACATGTGGAATAAGCCTGATTTTAATGGAAAAGCAGATCTTCTGTACGTGCACAGACTACTCTGCTGTGACACTTACTAGAGCTGGTTGTATGGCAGGAGCAAGCTACGGTGTCTGTCCCGTCCCTCGTGCTGGAATAAGCTAATGACCAGCCTCTGCAAATATTGGGCAGTATTTCTTAGAGGATCTCTAAAGAACTGAGCTGGAGTGGGAATTCTATCAGTTCTCTGTTTTCTAGATGGGCTGTAGGTTGGCTTTGAAATCTTCTGGAATTTACCTACTTGTAAGAAATTTTCTTACCTACTTCTAAGGATTTTTTTCTTTTAATCTGTTGGAGACTTTGTGGAAGCTCAGCACAATCAGTACTGTCTCCTTTGGTGCTTTGGTGAGGCTAACATTGTTGATCTTTAATTGCACTGAATATCTGGGTGGGTGGTTTTTTGTTTTTTTTTTTTAACATAAGTTACAGGTGTTACTAAATTGAAGTTGAAAATCAGCAAGGTAGCTCATGGAACATAAGACTGGAGTAATGGACTGAATTATGTTCTGATGCTTGGGCATCACTTTTGACTGTATTAGTGCCTGTTAGTTGCCTCACCATTACCAAATAAAAGTTTACCTTTTAAATTGCAGGGAAACGTTAAACGTAAAGATCACTTTGACTATCAGAAGGAAAGGGTTACGTCAACCTTGGATCGTCTGGCACGCCATGTTGAAGTAGAGAAACAACAGAAAGAAGAGAAGAACAAAGCTTTTAAGGTACTGGAGCTATTTTGTTTCAGTAGAAGTGCATAGTACCAGCCTTTGTGGTCACATGTGTTTTGTTTGGTTGGTTTCTACTGTTAAGTGAATTAAAAGTTTGGGTTTTATGTTTTTAATTCACGTAAGTGAGCCAGACCTGGAACTAGCAAGTAGAGACTTTTTTTACTTTTAGAGCATTGATTGAAATATAATACAGACTGTGACTGTTCCGTGATCTTTAATTAATGAATTCACTAGTCTCATTACATTTCTTAAGGAACAAATACTAAACTCATGCAAACCAATAGCAAAAGTTGATTCACTTGTTTGTGTACATTGCAGAGGGACCTTAGCATGAATGATTCTGGTGCTCAAATAATTGAACAGAACAGTAACAGGGTTCATAAACCACCATGCAGCAAATATTAAATTGTCTACCTGCTTTTGGGATTGCATGGGACTGCATACTGGACTAGATCTTTAGAATACTATTTGCCGTATTACATCTCTGTATCAGGAAATATATTTACAATGGGACGGCAGTTATTTGAAAGGCGTGGATTTATTATTTGTGTAGCAAACTGGGAGGTCCAGTCAATACGCTCAAGGGCAGGGCTGCCATGAGAGGAACCTGGACAGCTTGAAGGAGTGAGCTGACAAGAATCTCATGAAACTCAACAAGGACACTTGGGACGGAATTACGCTCCGCATTGATATAGGCAGGGGGCTGACTGCCTGGGGAGCAACTCGCTCAAAAGGACCTAGGTCTCCTGGTGCACAGAAGGCTTGACACGAGCCAGCAGTGTACCGTGGTGGCAAAGGAAGGCCAACAGTATCATGAGCTCTGTTAACAAGAGCACAGTCAGTAGATCAAGGGAAGGGATTATTCCCTCTTGGCACTTGTTAGATCACGTGTAGTGGAATACTAACACCCAGTTTTGGGCTCCTCAGTACAACAAAGATGCTGATAAGCTGCAGCAAATTCAATGAAAGTCACCAAAATGATCGGGGCCTGGAGTACTTGCCCTGTGAGGAGAGGCTGAGGGAGCTGGGCTTGTGCAGCCTGGAGAAGAGACAGTTTTGGGCAGCCTCACAGCAGCCTGTGTCCTTGGACGTTTTCTAGACCTGAATGGATAAAGTTCTGAGCGACATGGTCTGATGTCATAGATGACCCCTACTTTGAGCAGAAGGTTGAACTAGAGATGTCTTGAGATTCTGTCAAACCTTAATGACTCTGTGGTTTTATAAAATACTAATTTAAAATCTTTTAATTCATGGAATTGCTTTCCAGAAATCGTGCTGACCTTCTAACCTAATTTACTGAACGCTGTTAATAGCCATTGCGCTAGGTCGCATAATTACAGTGTAGTTACAGGCTATTGTCTACTACAGACTATGCATGCAACTGTAATATAACAGAGACAGAAGAAAATGTAAAAGGTTGTCAGATATAGTGCAGTGTAGCCTTGGAGTAAAGACACCTACGCTCCTCTCCTGTCTCTGCCGCTTAGAATTTGGCAGATCTGTTAGTATCTCCAAATACAGCTTTCCAGCTGCAGAGTAGAGTCAGATACCTATGTGGCTTTTCAATAACCCGAGAGTAAAAGATTAAAAACCCTTCTGTAAATGATGAATATTTTAGAGCTGTGCAGCTGCTCACTCCTCAGTAATAAGTAATACAATTTGCAGAGCTGCAACGAAACTGCCACATTATTTTGTCTTGGCAGTAGGAGGAGTTGGCTATTTGATTTCAGTGACCATATTTTGTATTACAGTTTTCTGTATTCTGCAAACCTTCTAGCTCCTCTCATGACAAGAGAAATCACCAGGATGCTAAGTCTGTATCAATCTGCTGTCTCTCCTGCATAGCATCTTGCATGATCTTCGTCTGCATCATGGTCACAGCTAGAGGAGGTGCTAAGAGTAGCAGTAGTTCAGATGCCTCAGACTGAGCTGTGCCTTGAGTCTTGAGCTAGGAACCTTCCCACTGCTCTAGGACTTTATTAGAAGCACGGTGCCTCTAAACACTGGTAGGGAGAGTTGGCTGAGATCATAGGGTTTTTCACAGAAGGAATTATCTTGTAGCCCACTTCAAAGGTTTTTGTCAGACTTGCCCTGACTTTGATTCCCCAAAAGACAGTTATTTTTTTCCCACTCTGAAAAACAAATCATTTGTATTAGTGAGCAAGTGAGCTATAGCAGAAGTTTCCTCTCCTTTGTTGTCCCTTCTTCTTGAGGTGCACCTGTTGCTAAATCTGGCAGTTCAAAAGCAGAACATGTTACTGAGACTCATATTTCTTTCAAGATGCGCATAGGAAAGAAGTTTAAAGAATTTTCTAGAATTGTCAAAATCAAGCAGTTTTTCATTTTGCAGATGTTTTTATCTGCCACACAGAAACAAAGGGTTTAAACAATTTTTTATCAGTTAAAAAAAAAAAAAATTCACCTGAAGTACTTTTCCCTCAGTTTGCAGGATATTTTAGAAATTACTTTAAAGTAAAGTTGCCTTTTTGTTATTCATAAGGTATTCTGCAAAAGGAGAAATGTTATTGCTGCTCAGTTCTGTCATTTGCTTAATCCACTGTGTCAGGCTTGATTATAATGAGAATTGTCTAGTTTTTATAGCTTGTGACCCAAGTTTAAGTGGGGAGCTAAGTTCGTCTAGTTTTTAGAGACAAGAGGAAGTATGTGTGTCCAACCCTGGATCTGTCTTGTTCAAAAAGGCAATTATATGTCCCTCACAGATGCTCCGCTGTGGGATTACAAAGAGATAAGGCATACTTTTTCATGTTCATAGCAGATTGAAACCTAGATTAATAGTTGATCACTCTGCAAATACTTGCATGATTTAGGAAGAGGAGGAAGTCCATTTGGATTCCTGGGGCCATGCAGCAGGTTATTTCTTCAAAGGTACCAATATGTTTTAAGTGAAATGCTCCCTGTGCCAGGCTTTGACACTTTGCTCCCTGTCTGCAAGAGAAATATTCTATGCTTACTGCCAGAAGACGCCAATCTGAACCAAAAATAAAAAAGCAGTCTTTTCAGGTAGGTTGTCTTGGGTCACATTGGATGTATAGTGTGTTGGGGTTTTTTTTTGTCTCTTTGGTTTTGGTTTTTTTTTTTTTCCCCCTAGAGCTCTTTGTGAGAATCTAAAAGCAAGAACAGTAGTTTTTCTAACAATGAAGAGTAGTTTTGCTTTGGGAGGAGCACGTGCCTTTAAAAGGTGCTGTAAGAGCTGAGGGTAGTCAGTATAGCAATGTAATCTGTAGCCATTGAAGCCCTTAATGAAATGTCTGTAACCAGTAATAGCTTTTTGAATGGAACTGGAGGGTTTTTTTTGTCAAGGTGACTTTAACTGAAGTTCACAGTAAGACAAGTTGTGGTCTTAATACTAACAATCAGTTGCTAGGCAAGTATAGTTGTCTACAGAATTGAAAGAGCTCTTCTAATGGATGCGCTGGAAGAACAAAGGTTTATTCTTGGTCTGAGCAGGAAAGCAGCTGAACTCATTTCTAAAGTGCACAACGTGGTTACTGAATAAGGATGCTGCTGTTAACAGAAAACGATACAGGAATTTCTGTCACTAGGATGAATTATCTTGTCCAGTCTAGTATTTATTCTAAACTATTATTTTAAAATATTTTGCATGGTCTAACTGAGCGTCCATGGGTCTAGGTTTTACCAATTCAGTTGAGAAAGTGTCACACCGTAGGAGATTACAGTTTGGCTTATACTGATAGAATTAAGCTGACACTCCTATGGAGCATTCTTGCTGCATAAGAAATATCTACACTGTAGGTACCTGAAGGTGCCATAGGCTGCTGCAAAGCACTGCATGTTCTCAGGGTTTTTTGCAATATACTGGTGAATCTTTATTATGATCTGAAGAATACTTGAAATATGGGATTGGGAGTGACAGTAGAAGTCTTAGTTGTAACCGGCAAATCCTTCTCTTCATGCCATTTGGCGCCATTTTAAAATGGGTAGCAAAATTTGGTGAGTTGTATAATAATGAACAGCCAGTCTTTATTTGAAGTGAACAAGCTCAAAAGGCAGCATACCGATATCTGGAAAAACATACTCATCACCTTTAACTTCATGTGATTTTGCATGAGGATGCTCAGGGTTGATGTCTTTAACTTTCTTTAAGTCTGAGAGGACTCTTTATAAAGAAGCTTTCATGTCTTGTAATTTGTAACACAGACACTGTTTCTTCTTGAAAATATAACCAAAATTGGCATCATGTCAGAAAAGGCATATGTCTTAAAATATATATGAAGAAGAAGCACTGTCTGCTATGTCGTTCAGATGTTACCTAAAATAGGTGAGGAGAGAAGGAATTAGTGTTCTGATTGCTATGATATGTGTGGAATTTATCTCTTGTTTTTTTCAAAGATGTTACTTTGCACCCTTTGTTTTTTCATTATCTGTGGCATTCAGTTCTTGGGATTTAAAGAAAAAATGTTTTTCATGATTTATTAGGAAAGCAGTCCATCACAGTATCATCCATGCGACTGGATATCTCTTAATCTTTTTTTTCCCCATTCTGCTTCAGGTCATCATTTGGCAGTTTCTTGTAGCTACCTTTAACTTTCTTATCCTTGTTTGTCATGATCTCTCCACACAACTTTTTCGTCCTCTCCTGTTTTTGAATGGCAACATTCTCTAGAAAAATTTCTGCTTATCTGCTTTTAGTCCCAGAACAGTCAGATGTTCATCCCCTTACCTGGTGCCAAGCAAATGAAGCCCATAGAGTACAGAAACTGCTATGTTAGCATTGTGGACCTGTAGCACTTCTCTACTGTTTGCAGCACTTAAAATACTTTTTCCTACAACATGCTATCTATCTGTGATTTTCTCTGTAGTACAATAAGTAAATTTTCAATGAGTTGCTGTGCTATAAGGTATCCCTATGTTTACTTATCCTGATGTTAGTGAAAGTGTGAAGATCAGGACCTGAGATGTAACGCAGGCCACATTTGCAAAGGAACAATGATTGCTATTTGATTACTACTACTAGTAATCAAACTCTGGAAAATGTCGTGCTGGTACAAGTTGCCCAAAAAGCAGAACGGAGTCTAGCCAGTCAGATAATTTGCATTGCTGTTATCCTGTATGGTACCACCAGGGATATTGCTAGAACAGAGGGCCCATATACCAGGAGGTGATATGTGTGTTGCCCCGGGAAGTGACTTACTATTCTGCAACATGCATGCCAAGCTGAACACAAGAAGCATGTAGATGTTAGCTGTCATGTGCAAAACGTACCTTAAGTTTTCTTCTCTCTACAAGCACTGCAAGGTGCTAGCACTGGATCCCTTTGCAACACATGAATATATTTTAAGTGTGGTGCTTGCATTTGAGATGTTTACAAATGTTTCTGTTGTGTACTTTCAGGTGCTCTTTCTGATCTGATGTCTTTTCAGGAACTACAAGTGTAAAAAACCCTATAATTCTATGATTTTTCAGGCAGTGACTGGACTGTAGCTTAACTGCCCTGGCCACTAACAGATAGCATACTGTATTTTTGCTGTAGCAGTAAGTACATTTTTTTTAAAGTGAGACACGTTTTTTTTCATGCCATTTTCATACTTTTTGGTTCTTTGACATGCAACATTTGATATGCAGGATAAGAAGCCTAGTAGGTGCCTAATAGGTAGGATCTCAGTGCATATATACAGTATGAATAGAAGGGAGCCAGGAAAATGTTCGTCAGACAAATCTGCATTGTTGCTTCACACAAACTGAGGTTCTGTTCTTTCCCGTAGTCAGACTATCTTATCATGGCACGGCAGTAAGTAGTTGGTATCGAGGCGGGAAGTGAAAAGGCTCCTGCAGAAATAAGGCCAATGGGTTAAAATGGGATTTAGCCAACTCAAGTTAGTTTGTTTTGTTCGCTAGCTGGAATAGTCTTGGCATGTTAGTAACACCATAGTTAGCCTTGACCCAACTGAGAAATAAGAACTAAATAAGTCGTGGTAACTCATGAAATTTGGAACTGTCTGCAGTTTCTAGTGCAGTTTTTTCATGTAGACAAATGGCATTTTATGATAGCAAGGACAGTTTGCCGGCAAAATATTAAGAAAAGCCTTTTCTTATTTATTTTTCATTCCGTTATTATGTGTTTCTTTTTTTAATCTTAAAATTCTTCTTGTTTTTGTATGTGCTTCAGAGACTATATGCCTCATAAACTATAGATGTGTCAAAAATAAATTGCTTGACTCTTTTTCTATAAAGTATTTATATGTTATATAAAAATATATAGCTAGAAGATGGCGTTCCCATGGGGTTGGCTGTCCATATGAAAACCCAAAACTGTCTTTTGTTAATTTTCTCAACTAGAATTTGTATGCAAAGAAGCCTTATTTCTTTAACTTCCAGTTTGGCCTGTCTAGTCAAGTTGACTATTAATTGCATTAGTTAGAAACGCCTCAGAAAGTATTCGCTACAGGAGTGCATTTTGTTTGACTGTGATATTACTGCAGATTTTTTTTTTTCTGCATTGTAGGTACCAATGTTGATAACGAAAAAGATCGATGTTAGGACTTCTTCACCTGGCTATTTTCAACAATGATGTTTCAAGAGCTATAGCTTTTACTGAGGACACAAAAATTAGTATTCTATTTTTATTATTTTATTGCTATTTTATTCCATCTGTATTGTGTTATATGAAAGTCAGTCAAATTGTTCTAAGATTTTTTCCTTAAGTTTTTTTTTCCTCCTCAGAGATCCATATGTAAGTTTTGAAAGTTTAACTTCATACGCATACTTAATCTTGATTTTTTTTTTTTTTTTTTAATTTAATTGCCCCTTTGCGTGATATGTTTTCCCCTTCAGGAGAAAGTTGATTCCCAGTATGCTCATGGACTGCAGGAACTAGAATTTATTCGGGGACACAGTGACACGGAAGCCGCAAGATTATGCGTGGACCAGTGGTTAAAAATGCCAGGTAATAACAGGAATGATGAGGTTTCAAATACGTAATAAGGAACCACAAATTAACGATAAATACATTAGAGGAGTAATGAACGTTTACTCAATTACTTTAAAACTAGGTTTCAATGTTACATTTTCTAAGTCAAGTTAAGTTAATTCTAAGTCTAAGTTAATTCTAAGAATTAACTAAAGTTAATTCACTTTATAGTGATTATTTCCAAGTGCTGCATTGCAGAATGGAACATGTAGTAATTGCATTAAGCAATGCTGACATTGAACTTACATGTGGCTCTGATACCTAACAAAATATTCCAATACCAGCTTTGCTTAGTGTAACATTTGAAAGTTCCTATACACTGATTTCCGTAAAAACTATTCTTACAATATCTTATTGTTTAGTAAATTTAATATGCTGAGTATAAATGACACTAAGGTAGTGTTAGCTACTTCAACAAGCAAAGTTGCTAGAAGGAAAAATATTACTGTGTTACTGTTACTCAGGAAAATATGGCATTGAAAGAGGTATAAGTTCAGGAAGTTGAATCAATTTAAAATACTGCCACTGAATTATATACAATACCTTTGATAGGAAACAGCATTGTCGTACATGAATCTGGAGGAGGGATGTCAAAGTGTTAGAAAACTGATCTTGCTACAGATTGAAAAGACAGATACTTCAACTGAAAGAGCAAACTACTTCTGTTGTAGGATTGCATTACGTATCTTTGCTAGTGTGCTTTTCAGAATCAGTATAACCTGAATTTTAAGTGCTTCAAGGTGTGACTTTTTAAAAGCCTCTATAATTGTGATTCTAGTTAGATGCTTTGTTTTACAATACAGGTCTCAAACCAGGCACCGTTAACAGTGGAAGAAGGGGTATTTATCAGAGGGCAGGTCAGACACCAGCCAGCAGCAGTCCTATTTCTTGTCCTGTGATGAATTGTAACAGAAAGTTTGATAATGGGCATCTTCTCCTAGGTCACCTGAAAAGGTAAGGCCATAGAACAAGATCTCAGTGCAAGAAATAAGTTTGAGAATATCCTTTTATTATTAGGACATTTGCCTCAAATCTATCTTAAGCTGCCTGTAGAAACAAAATTGCATTTGGAGAGAAGATAAATGTGCTATGAATTTTATATAGATGATGTGATTATCTGTGTGCATTTTTTTTTTCTATTCAAAATTAATTTCTTCCTCTTGTTAAGCATTTTTTGACATCTATTTTTTGATGTTAAACTCTGCTCCAGTTATTTCAGTTTTTCATCCAAACTTGAAAAAGAGCAAAAAGTTAACGTATAATGAAATACCTAAATGTTGTATAAAACTTGATGATAGGGTAAAAAAGATGTCCCTAATGAAGGGAAAGATGAGCAGAAAGTAACTATTGGCAAACCATTTATCCATAGCTGATTGTTCCTAGTCAGCACTTACTGTTCCTGGGATCAATTTCCATCAGGTCCTGTCTTTTGACTAGTAAGCATGAGGAAGATAAGGCGAGAAACTGAGAGGAGGTAAAAAAGATCCATCCCCAGGAAACTGAGGCTTCGTTAGTTTTGTTGTTCTTAAAAACCATTTTAGTCCTCTGCAAATAGACCCTTCAATAGGTAAGCTGCAAAAAGAATCACCTCTGTGTAGGATGTTTCAACTGATATAGCTAATGTTAGGTCAAGTGATGAATTTTACAGTTGTAATTGATAGGCTTTTGTCCAAGAGCTTCAAAAGACACATTTTTTTTCCCTTCAAAAATGTTTTGACCGTTTAGAGGGGAGCTAATTTGTTAATTATTTCTTCCTCTATAGGTTTGATCATTCTCCATGTGACCCAACAATTACATTACACGGACCTCCAAATAATGCTGTTGCCTGTGTGATATGCTGCAAAAGATTTTCAACCTCTCAGCAGTACAGTGATCATCTTTTATCTAAGGCAAGATCACAAGGATAAGTAACTCACCTGACCGAACGTAATAGAGGGTTTTCAAGACCTAAAATTTTGCACAGATTTTTCTTTTAATATTCTTCCTCTCCCCTCCATTCATTCAGTCTTCCAAACAGTTTTTCTTATTTTGCTGCGTTTCAAACGCTTGAGGTAACCTAACAATACTCCCATTAAATCTAATCGTTAGGTTGTACTCTGCTGTTTACTTCTGAGAGGGCTGTTGTTCCCTCTTGAACGTTTTGTCCCTCTTTGTGGGACAAAAGGTATTGTTGTCAAAAGGTATTCCCTTTTTTGCATCTCTAAAACTAGTAAAGATAAAGGCAAGAAGTTACAGTGAAGTAAGTGACAATGAAGAGAAGATGCAGAAGGGAGGCAGGAAAAAGAGGCAACAGAATGAGAAAAGACTCTGATGCAGATGCAACTTTTTCTTCCCTGTTTCCAGTATCTCCATTGACAAGTATGTCTGCAGCTACTCACTAGTTAACTTGCAGAGTGGAGGAGGATAATGCAACATTTGAGCTTTAATTTGAACGTAAACTAATAGGACTTGCTTTTGTTGTTGTTCCCTCCTTCCATTCTGTTTGTTTCTTCTTTCTTTTTTTATTGTGCTCTCTACCTGTCTTTCCCTTAGGTTCACAACATACCACTATAAAATGTCAGTTCAGTGTAAGATGCTTAGATGTTATCTTCAGGGTGTATGGCTTTATTTAGCAGTCTGGTGTTTAAATGGATAATAGATAGCAGTTTCACAGTTGAGTATTTTAATCACCAACCCACATGTGGACCAACTTAGCTTATGGAATTCAAGGGAAGTTTTAGATACTCTGAAAATCAGGCTGCTTTTAGATGGTACATGTTCATACCTGACAAGCTTGAAAGATTGTGCCATAGTTTGTCCCTGTTCTTTTCCCGTCTCTGCCAGTTATGTGCCTATGGTATGCCTAGGGGCATCAGCAGGAGTTATTAGACAAGTTTGGTGAAAGGGAGTGGCTCTTGCAGCAGTCATAAAGATGGGATAATATTGATATGAAAAGATGAGGGAGATAATCCTAAACAAAGTTGTGGAAGAAAGCTTGTCAGGAAGATTCTATGGAAGACAGAAGAAAGGAGTAAGCAGAAGCAGAGTGCCTGAAGCAAAGCTAAAGGATTTCTGCCCTGAGGGTAGAGATTTGTGGTTGACGTAGGAGGCAAAGGGAGTAGAGGGAGCAAGGGAGAAGGGATTTGAAAAGTACAGGACTTTGATAAGAGTCACAGGCCTTTTCAGGCTACTCTGAGGAGTGGCGTTTTGAGAAGATGGAGGTAAGCAAGACTAGAGAAGAAACAAAACAATGTATCAGGAAAGCCTTGTGTTACAGTAACAGAAAGAGCTTTTACAGAGAGCCTGGATAGAGGGACTAGATAAGAATTGGTGGAAGTTAAATATAGCCTTTAGTTCTGGGAAGTTGTAGTTGCAACCAGCGGTGCAGAAGGAGGGAACAGAAGTCTTGGCAAAGTGGCAAGGATGAGTAGCTGAGTTGAGTGAGGCAGGTTGTCTAGTCCCCTCTCTCACAAGCTGAAGGTGCGTAAAGGTAGGCTGTAGGTGAACATAGATATGGTAGTTGGAAACCTGGGAGGGAAGCATATTGCCATGGGAAAGGGAAAGACATGAAGAGAGATGGGACTGATTTGTTGTCTTCATATTTCTCCTAACCAGACCGTTTTGTGTTCCAGCTAAATGAAAATGATGGACATAAAAAAGATCTCCCTCCTCAGCTTATTCAGTGTTACGCATGCCCAAACTGCTTCCTCCTCTTCACTGTAAGAGATGAATGCTTGCATCATATGTCTGGAAAGAACCACTTCCTCCAGGTTTTTAAATTGAGTGGTATGTCGCAACTTAAGTGTACTGCTTTTCATTCTTTCTGATAATTGATCCTGACAATGTGAAGTGATTTACATTTTTCTGTTGTGTAAGACAAGTTTTTAAGTTTTGTTTTTAATGAATTCATATTTTTCTCTTAAGATCTTACATGTGATTAAGTTCCGTAGGAGATGTTTTTAAATTCATGTTTTTGTGTATCAGTGATCCTCTATTACAGTTGGTTTACCGAGAGGCAGACTTTCCTTTATCCCCGTGCTGTCAGGTATCTCACATAAGCTTCTCATCCTGCAGTGACCCTACCCTATCTGATTCCTGTCCTAAATATGTTTGCACTTAACATATGGAAAGAAACACAGACCAAACCACACAAATATTTCTATGAATCTAGCCAGACGGATTGTGATGTCTCTGCCCTCTGCTCTTCTGTCTGAAGCCTGTTGGAGGTTATTTTCTTTGCCTGCATCCTTAGCATGCCTGGAAAAGATCTGTGAAAATTTCTTCTCTATATCAACGCGAATTCCAGTCAGGTGCCTTGCACAGGCTGCGTTGCTACTGAAGCCTAAACTGTTGGCTCTGCTATGAGCTGGTAGCATCCTCAACCATACATACTAGGTTGCTCAGAAGATGTCTGATCATGATCTTGGAAAACACTGTCATTGACCTGTTGGCCTGAGTTACCAGCCATCCTAGCTGTGCTGACTTTTTGGCTTTGACATAAGCAGTAGGTATGAAAGCATTGATTTTAATGTTAGGTAAATGGTTTAGACAGATGAGACATATGTGGAGCCTACTTTTTATTTGTACGTTGCTGTATTTTAGATACTGTAGCTTTCAGGATAGGCCTGCATGGCCAAAAGGACTGGTATAGTTGATGTTCATAGCAATATGTACTGCTTCCTCCTTCCCTCAAAATACCTGCAGGAAGCGTGAGGTGAAAAAAGGCTTTGAAGGAATCTTCCTGCAAGTTGAGTCTGGGCTGCCCTGTTCACAGAACTGACAATCAGCTGCCTTGTTCTAAGTTATCTTATGTATTTTAAATCTAATGTACTTTTAATCTCAAATGGATTATTAATTCTCAATATGCTTTTACAAATTCCATGAAAATCAGTCCATAGGTTTTTAGAAAGATTACTGGTGACCTATTGCTGTGAAAAGATTAAAAGCACAAAGAGGTCAGTTTTCTTCCTCGCAGATGGGTAGCGCATAGTCACACAAAGAACAGAAAACAGAAGTGCTCTTTTTCTTCCTTTGCATTGATAAGTCTTCATGATTTGATATCATCAACTCAGTCTGTAAGATCTGGCAGTTAAATTAGTTGAAAGACCTCTCTTCAAATTACTTCCTACTGGCCATTACATCTTACTATACATGGAAAATTCAAAGAGAATTTGCCTCTTAAGATGCAGAACAATGATAGCAATATAGCAACATTCATAAGCCGTTTCCCATTCTCTTTTCATTAGAAAACTTCTTATTCTACTAGTACCTAGAGTTAGACATTGAGTATGTATCCTACAAAACGAAACAATCCTGCACCTTTTAAGGAATGCGGGGGGTGTCAAAATATATGGGAACTTTAGGCTTTTGTTTAAAGCAATAGTATATATTTTTTAAGAAAAAGTCTATGTCGTAAGAGCAGAGTAGTGGAAGTATATGGAGAGAAAGTAAGTCAGTAAGGATGTTCCCGAGAGAGACACCTGACCTGACCTTGTAGAAGGAGGACAAGGGAAGTGGAATCGATCACTGAATTTGAAGAAACAAAAACATTAGATTGCTTAACACATTAATGCAGTTTGTTAATTAACAAATTAATGCAGATTGTTAAATTAATGCAGTTTTAAGTAAAACTTGTATTGCATGGTAACTGTGGCTCAGCTCACTCGTGGTAACTTGATGTCTGAACCCTGTGACTAGCAAGCATAATTGTAGCTATGTCCTCTGAGAGCTGAAACGCTATGAAAGGACTCCAATATGTGATTGCCCTTTCCACTGTTCCCTGCTACAGATGAAATGAAGACTGGCCTTCCTCTTCCTTTTCCATCTTATGCAAAGAAACTTCTGGTATCTCTGTGCAAAGAGGTCCCCTTCCAAGTGAAGTGTATATCCTGCTACCAGATACTACGCTCACATATGGAACTAACAGCTCATTTCAGGTTTGTAAGAGACAATTGTCTTTATGATATGAATGTCCATTGGTAGATAACGGATACCTACATGTTTATAGGGGTGTTGGTGAATTTCAGTGTGTCTAGGACTGTCTGAATGTTGACTTACAGGGGAAACTCCCCAAAACAACCCCTTCTCCATATATTTCCTTATCCCACACAATCCACTGGAGAATACTGAGCAACGTCTATATCCTTTTTGTTACTTTCTGTAACAGAGAGCAGCAGAGCTTTCTTGGTCTCTATTCTGCTATGTTTAGGTTGTCAGCATTTAATTTCTAAAACATACTGAGTGAACGACATAAGTATCCATTTTGGTGGTAGTCTTGCTTAACACCTTATTTTTTTTAAAGTGCAGAGGCTTAGGCAATAGCTAGGCATTACGTATTTCTGTTGACAAGTTAATAGGCCATCTAAAGTATCCAGAGGACGCTATTTCCATACCCTAATTGCTATAGCTACTAGGGAATATTTCAAAGTACCTCTGGAAATTTAGAAAAGTTTCAGGTTACGATAAAAACTTTTTTTTTTCCCAATCCAATCTAGAACACGTTGTCGTAATTCTGGCCCCATGGCACAGTCAAAGAAGAGCATCTCCCAAGTTGCAGAAATATTTAAAACAAAAGGTCACTGTGAGAACTGTGATAAGCTCTTTGCTGATGAAGATCAGATCATTCAACATAAGCAAAGCACTCAACATAAAATTAAAGTTATTTCTACAATGGAAGAGTCCATATTGATGTTCTGTCATATCAATGAAAAAAATAAAAATCCATCTCATTTGCGTCATATTGTGGATCGATCAAGACCACTGCTTAAAAGACCTTTGACTTTGAGTGAATCCACCAATGAAAGTGAATCTACTCCTTCAAAACGGAAGAGTGATTTTAAAGGTAAAAAAGAAGGTCAGGTAGCAAACCAAAGTCAAGGTAGTGCTTGCAAAGTAAAAGCCTGGTTTTGTGAATGCCTTCAAAAGTTTCTTACAGAAGAGTCAGTAGAAAAGCACATTTTATCAGCAAACAGGATCTGTCACAAGTGTGCTGTGTGTGGAAAGCTTGCTGAAAATTCAAGCATTATCCGCCTGCATATGAGTCGATTCCATGGGGGAGCACACTTGACTAACTTTCTTTTCTGGTGCAGAGCATGCTCTGTAGATCTCCTCAGAGAAGAGGATATTATGGGACATGTGACTGAATTTCATGGTGGACATAGTTACTATTATGAGCAGGAAGCTCTAGAAGAAGAACCTATGCCATCTGCTTCTGGCACAGCGTGCAGTTCCTCAACTGAAAGGAAAGAAAGTATTCCTACTCCTGTGGAACTCTCCCCTGAAAGGGGCCCTGTTCTGGGAAAATGGCAATGCCATATTTGTGAGGAAATGTTTGACACTGAAGACAGTGTTAAACAGCATTGCATGTCTTTAGAAAGCCATGCGTTTCACAGGTATTGCTGTGGCTTGTGCAAAAACCACTTTAGGAAAGTAGGAACACTACAGCGGCACTGCCAAGAGCATCATAACCAGGAGATACAGATTAAATACTTCTGTGGCCTCTGTGGTAATCTCTTTTTTGACACAGAACAAGAATTCCTAATCCATTATAAGGAGCTTCATAGCATGGACTATGCATTTGTGCCTGAGCAAATGGAAGTATCAATAAAAAAAGAAGATGACTTTCTGCCAGTAGAAAAAGGAGACTACTTAACCTGTGGTTGCCGGACAAATTATGTCTCCAGAGTGAACAGGAGGAACGATTATGTGAATTGTCAGAAGGTCATGCTCCAAAAAGGAAACTTATGGTTTCGCTGCTGCTTCTGTTCTGCGACTGCACAGAATTTTGCCGATTTGAACAGTCATCTCAATAGCCACACGTCAGTGAAACGTAACGAAGAGATGTATGTTGTTAGATGTGCTGCATGCAACAAAAACTTCCATGATCTTCAGAGTGCCCATCAGCACTATCACATGAAACACTGCTTCTTGCAGAAACCGGATATATCAAATCTTGCATCAGAATCAGAAAATACGTTATTCAAGTTCACGGCCAGTGGAGCTTGTGTGGACAAGAAACCCGACAAACTGAAGCTTCCAGCATATCCATCCAAGGCTCAGGAAAGGCCACAGTCTCCTTCTCTGCAGGGACCAATACATGAAAAGAAAGAAAAAAAGGAAAACTCAGCGCACTTTGAAGAACCTAGTGAAGGTTTGTAGAATTTAGATTTTTTTTTTTCCACTTTAGAAAAATATTGCTATCTTAATACACTCTATTTGAATGTCAGTGCAAGTATGTAACGTACCATTTGTCTGCATCCAGTCTATCTGATATGCATTGTTTCTCACAGTTGCCATTTGAATTCTCAGGATTTAAGTTTCTAGGACTTGAACTCAGTACTTTATGGCTACATGCCTCCTTATGCATGAAGCCTTTTAAAACCAAAAAGCAGGCAGAAGTGAGAGCCTTGGGACTGAAACATGTCAGTCTCAAATGACTTGGGAGCATAATTTGGTGATTAAAGGAGGACAGTCAAGGACCCCAAATGGAGATTGAACTCCTACAGATGCAAAAGCAGTCTATAATACACACACAATCAAGAGAAACTTGCCCTCTTTGTAGGTGTAAATATTTGTGAGACTGATAGGACTGCTCACACAAGAAAGTACTGTTATAACACTATCTTCTCAATTGCCTTTACTTTGCCAAAAAATAATTTCAGCTGAACGCTTCTATTCTCGGTATGTTTTTGCTTTTTTGGCTTCAGCTTTTTTTTTCTTTCTTTTTTGGCTTCAGCTTTTTTTTTCTTTCTTTTTTTTTTTTTTTAAGTTCACCTCCTTTTTAAGAATGACTTTGAGAGAAAGTACCTTATATGTTCAAAAATAGATTTTTTTTTTTTAATTATGATATATTAAGTAAGCTTTTGAGCAAAAGGTTGACATGTTGGATTTACAGAATAAAGTATATTTCTAAACATTTACACACCTTTGTGTCTAAGATGTTAAATGTCGCAGACACTTGCCATAGTAGAGGGTGCACAGTTGAGTGCTAAATGAACTGTTAAAGGCCCCAGTGCAGTGCAACAGCTATGCCTACCACAAAACACCATCCATCTCCACACCATCATATCGCTATATCCTGCTGTGCCTCCTACCTAATTTGTGCATTACTAAATGCTACTTCATTTGGTTTAAAAACAGTGCTGAAACAGTGCGATCACTAAATAGGTTCGTATTTTATTTTTATAACTTTTAGCTTACAGAACAGTTAAATATATGGATTTTTAAAAGCATATCTGAGTTGATGTGTATAGGTTGACCAGAAGGTCAGATAAACTTAAAATGCATCCTTTTTATCCCATTGAAGACAGTGAACTTCCTGATTTTGACTACCTGAGTACCATGACTCACATTGTGTTGGTGGATCTGGACAACTGGGGAAGCTTATTCACGCAGCTGCCAGCTAACCTGAATCAAGGGACATTTATCTGGGGCTTTCAAGGTAAAAAAAAAAAAAAAAAATGGTTGAAGGAAATAGGAGGAAACGATTGACAAGTTCACACAAATACTTGGGCAGAGATTCTTTGCATCTGAAAGAATATTGAACGGGAGCAAGCAGCCGATAGGACCTGTTAAGTCACAAAGTCATAGGCTGTGTGTAACAGAAGTGTTTTTGAACTTCTCAAATTCAGTCTCAAGCTCTTTTGCTCTTACTGTTTCTCTTAGAATATTGTTCCAAAATTGTTAAAACAGTTTCAGAGTCTTTATAGCTTCCCTAAAAAAACTGAACTTACTTAGGCTATATCATGCTAGCTTTTTGTAGTTTTTAGGACATCTATAATATTTGGAGCTTATTTTTTTTCTAGCTAGTTTCCAACTCCCAGGTCCTTGTCATAATGTTCTTGTTTTTAGTCCCAAAAGTTATGATTTTACATTCTCGTACTTAAATTTGTTCCATTTCTGACTTGCCATTGAGGAAGCCCTTGGTCACGCTATATTATCAATAAGCGTGTCTCACATTAGGAAGATACTAGTAGCAGTACAAGGTGACTGATGGAATTCACCCTGTTAAGGTTTTCTAAGAAAACTTCTCAAGAAGCTCGCTAGTAGCATCCCATTAACCTGATATTTTCCATTATTTGACTGTTCCTAAGGCAGTCACTAGCGTGCCTCATACTTTTGCCACTGTTTTTCTCTGTGTCTGCCTTTAATTATGTAATGTAATTATTACACTGAATATGTAAGTAAAGCCCAAATGAAAAATAATTCCCAAAGATCTGTTGCCTTGAACATGCATCCTCTTACCAAACAGACCTGTAAGAATTGTCTGGCATGTTTTATCTTTAGCAAGCCCTATTGTGTCACACCTCCTTTTATTTAATTTACTTTATTACTTCTTCCTTCAAAACATGTACTGAAAGTTCACAAGTGGCTGAAGTCAGGAAGTCAAGAAAGCCCTGTTGATGCCTGAATTACACTTTTGCTTTTCTTAGAAACGGGCATTCCATGAGCTGATGAGGGCGGTGCGGGAATTGTATGTGTGTTTATTAATGTGAGTTCTTAAAACAACTAGCCAGCTGTGCTGCAGGACCTGTGGTCTAATGTCTGGTTGTTCAGGAGTTTTGGGGTGGGATCCTCTGATCTCCTTAATTAAAGTTTATCTCTGCACTCCTTGACTTTTGACAGTCGTTCTGTGATTCTGTGTGAATATTGTGATTTAGGTTGGTTTTTGATTTTGTTTGCTTGTTTGTTTTTTAGTAATCAATTTGCTGAAGGTTGGCCGATTATTTCTACCATTATTATTCAAGCCAGCTGGTCCTGGAACAATCATTTTTCCTTTTTCTTGAGATAAAAATGCAACAATTATTAGGAATCTAACTTGAAGAAATGTCATGCCCTTTTCACATCTAAAGTCCAAAGCTACTCTGTCTGAGTTTTATAAAGAATTCTTTAGTAAAGAATTATTTTTCATAGTTATGTCAGACTTTGCCCACTTGAATTCAGACATTTGCTCTAAATCATACTTTGTTTGCCCTTCTGTTTCATTTAGCCAAAACCAATTTGTCATTATTTGACCCAAGGTTATTGCCTATGACAAGCTCTTCTGTTCCGTTACTACAAGCTTGATATGCCCTGTTTTGATTTAATAAGGGATTGATTAAACCAGGAATGTCTGCACTGTATTGTTGTCAGAAATGTTTGTTCTCTGCTTCAAGAAAGAGTAATAATCTGTAATGCAGTCTCAGAAACTTATGCTAGGAACCCAGAGGTACATCTGTACTACTTAAGACAATGTGCCCAGGAGCGTTCTTGAACACTCTGCTGGTGCGGAGCAGTCCGCATCAATGCTGCTACTGAACTTTCTTTCTTACCTTCCAAACAGGTTGCTGCATTTGCTGCTGGAGCATTTGAACAAAAAAAAAAAAACATACCCGAGAGGTAGTGGAGGTTAGAGTGGGCCATATTTATATCGGAGAACTTTGTAGAAGTTTGTTACTGTCAACCATGTTTTTACAGAGCCTGGGAACACCAAGTCTTCCAGGCACATCTGAACTTATGATTATAGGTGCCTTTCATAGTAATGGTTTTTGTAATGCATGCTATTCTTGTTTGTTTAGCCTGTGAGCATAGAATGACATCCCCATCTTTTTCATTTTTCTGTATTTCCAAAACAGCTTTAAAAAATTTTTTAATGATTCCTGTTGTGTTACTTCTGATATTCCTATTGTTAATGCAGCCCTAGTTTTGCTTCGAGTTTCTGTGTTGTGTTGCCCAGGCTCCATATTGCTTCTATTTTCAGTCATTCAGTTGTCCTTCACCCATTTATGACCAGAGTCTAGCTCCACTAGAATAAATACAGCTCTGTCATTGTTTTCAGCTGTTGTAGTCAAGCATTTATGTTGTACATTAAACAAAATTCATGTAACCAAACCGCACACTTGGCAATTGCAAATCTTTCCCAAATATTAGTGACTGAGGATGTCACAATAGATGAGAACAGCTTGAAAAGACTAATTTTCTCATGGACAGATACCTCTAAATCTTTTCTCTACAGCACGTTACTAAATCTTGGAACTTTCTGATCTTTTTGGATATCTTCTTTTAGTCATTAGAGTGGAAAGAAGAAAATGGGAGAATTCTATTGAAGATTGCTTGTGCTTCTACTTCTCTGTCAGGCTCAAGGGGAAAAAATGCATGTGGTCTTCCATGGCCTATTTATGTGAGAGTCTTATTTTTTGCTTGTCCTCACAGGAAGTGTAACCACTGGCAGCTTCTACTTTCCATTCAAGCCTTTATATCTTCTGGCAGACAGAGCACCGTTCTTTCCTGACCCCTTGCCCTTCCCCCCACCCCAGACCCACTACTTCTTAGCAATTGGGAATGTCATGACATTCTTATTCACTCCCCTCAAACTGTCCTACAGATTTGTTTTTTTTCTTTCATATTGTTCTAGTAGCTCTGCAGCTTCCTTTGTTTTTCCCCTCTTCTTGAGAGACTTGCTGCCCCTTTCCTTTCCCTTCCTACCTGTTTCAGCCTGTTTTGCTTTTTATCATGTACCAAGCCTATTACTCAGATCTCCTCTATTATCCAACTGTTTTCTCTGCCAGTAACTACATGTTTTATGAGTTATCCTCTTCATGTGTTTTGGGATACTGTTAAGAAAATCTCTGCGCCTTTTTTTTGGTTGTAGCCTCATCTTGCTTATCCTTCATTGCATCCAAGTCTATACTGGGACTCTAGTGTGTTTGTCTTCAGCTGTTTCTCCAGTTCTTGGATCTTCTCTTTTAAAGAGTTCTGACGTGTGATGTGTCAGAACATATATAGGTTTTGTTGGAAATTGTCTCTGGTGTTACATTAGCATGGGATTTCCTGTGTGCCACTTTGCCAGGGCTCCTCTGCTTCTGCACATTAATCATTAACTTTTTCTTGTCTTTGTGCTCAGATGAGTTGTGTTGAAAATGGAAAGGATGCGTACTTGTGTAAAAACATACATGTGATTTCTGGAAAATAACTTTTTCAAGATTAGAAGAAAAATTTGGACAAAAATGAGTGAAAGGCTTTCTGTATGAACACAGTAGATTAAATCAATGCAGCTAGTTTCTCCTTTTTGTTTTGTAATCTGAAGACAAGGGCTTTGGGGGTTTTGTGTATATGTTTCTTTCAGTTTTCACAGTGGTCAAAATAAATTTGTCTTTATAGCCAGACTTACCTTTGCTTTTGACTTCTTAGATTCTTAATTCATGGTGACATTACTGTGCATTTATTTTCTTTGACTGTATAGGAGGATACAGCAACTGGAAACCTCCAGTGCAGTGCAAAATTTATAATTATCTTAAGAAGATTGGGTGTTTCTTCCTTCATCCACGTTGTGGTACCAGAAGAGAAGCAGCAGACTTTGCACTCTGTGTTCATGTAAGTTAGTGCACACTTCATTTATTGTTGTGTTTCTGTAATCAGAAAAGGGTAGCAGATGATGTCAGCCATTGATGTTGAGTGCTATTTACAAGTGAGATTCTTAGATTCTCTACATGTGACTTCCACTGCAAAGAAAGATAAAACTGTCACTGAATAAGTGTTTTTCCCACTGTGAGGGGTCTTGTCATGCCTCTAAATAAACCTGAATATCCAGAGGTCACCTCCAACGTCAGCTATTCTGTGCTGCTGTGATCATGCGTTTCTCTTTGTCCACATGATTGAATTATGGATTGCATGACCATGCAACGCAGAATCAATTGCTAAATATATTAAATGTAGGTATAATCTTTGCTTTTCCCTCTGCTTTTCTTTTTTTTTTCTTTAATACAACCATTAGCCTGACCTGGACATCAGTCTGTCTTCACGGCGATGTTAGGGAACAAGAAATGAAAAAAATATAGTTCTTGCCGTTTCTGTTTCAGAGAGTAACATAACTTTTGCCTCTCCCTTTAAGTGGCCCAAGTCTAGAGCCATCTTTAAGATGCATCTTTAAGATGACTTAACAAGTGCCGGTTTCAAGGACCCTGTTGGACTGATAGAGAGCAATGCCCCTGATCAATAGACCCAGGGATTTGGCTGCGCTGGGAGAGGCGGAGATGAATGTCAGAAATCTGGGATGTGGTCGGGACTTCAGTGAAGCGTTCTATCAGTAGTATCTATTAGATAAAACTACTTTAGGATCTAGTTATATGATGTAAACGTGTTTTGCAATGGTAAATTTATATGTTATCATACACATTCTTTGTCTCTTAAAGTGCTCTGCACAAATGACTTGTTTATTGCGGAAACATTTCTGAAATGCTGCTGTTCAGAAATTTGTTCTATACTCAACCAGAATTGTTTCTGTAGCCGTTCTGTATATCCATTGTCATATGCATAGAGTAAATGCAGTATCAAACTGTCCAAATAATACCTTTCTATAAGTGCTATAATATGAATCTGACCAGAAAAACTGAGGTAAATTGCTGTAGATGAAAGCTTTCCTATGAAGAGCTGCCTTAAAAAAATACAAAAACCAAAAAGAAAACAAAAAAACCTAGCCAAACCCCATAATACGAAAACATTGTAGCTGAACATCTCTCCTTTGTCTCCATACAGGCTGGTCGTCTGGATGAGCACCTGCCCAAGCAAATTCCTTTCACTGTACTTTCTGGAGACAAAAGCTTTCTAGAACTGGAAGCTCAATTTAAAATGACTCAGCGGTCAGCTCGCATCCTAAATCCTCATCACATCGAAGGAGACATGATGTGTGCCTTGCTAAACAGCATTTCAGATACCACAAAAGGTAGTAACTACACAAAACATAGTAACTAAACATTAAGCGCAGCCTTTCCAATAAACCAATAGTCTTTCCAATAAAAGAACGGAACACTCATGCTGACAAAACAGTCTAATGGTTATCCTTGTTTTTTCTTTAAAATACTCGTTTTTCAATTATATATAGATCAGGAAATCAATTTGCCTGTGGCACATTTTGAAACAAAATTTAATTAAGCATTTATGTTCAACATACCAAAACTCTGTCCTCACTGTATCCTTTGCTATAGAGAGAAGACAGTTTGTGTTATTGCAGTCTGTAAATTCCTTCCTGGTTAAAGAAAGGCTCTTTAGAGCACTCTAGTATGCATGCTTGTTGACTTATCCTGAAATCTACTTTACTTGAGTTATTCTGGGTCTGAAACAAATGTGAGAATGTGGCACTTGAGAGAGACTCTGCTAGAGCCAGTGCTGTTTCAAAAAACATCTCTGTGTATTTTAACTCTGATTGTCCTCTTGGCCACTTCCAGTCACTTGATATTTGTTTTCACTGGCCCATGGCGCACATGTCCGTTTGGAGGAAGAATACCAATAAAAGCCTTCAGGTTCTCTGCAATGCTGTATTCTAAAATGATCACACTGTTTTTATACAGAATAGTGGAGGAGGTTGGATACAGAATAATCAAAGATATTTGAACCAGCTTATTTTCAAGGACCAAAGAATATTGAAAGCAGAGATGAGCTTAAATACTTTTTCAATATTTTAAAATATTTTAAATAGTTTTCCTGGAAAGAAATTTTAGGGGTATTTTTAAAATACCTGGAAAAATCCTGATACTTCTCTACAGACATACTGTTGCTACTCCTTGCTTCTGTTATGGCTTTGGGGGCTTGTAAATTGAGCACATGTTACAGAAAGTCATTTCTGAATTAGCCCTAAACTTTTTTTCACGAAAAATACGCTACTAGTCTTGATGCAGGTTTATGAGAATGACAACATGCTGCTCTTCTATCAAGAAGATTATAGTGGAGAGCTAGCAAGGATTGGTAATTTGGCATCAATTGATTAAAAGAAAGACAGGGTAAAGAAATTGTTTCCTGAAAAAGTGATCTGTGGTGAGCTGGAATTGATTTGCATGATTTTGAAACAGACAAGGTCCTTAGTGTTTTCTGGCTGCGCCAGACGTTTGCTGGTCTCAATCTGCCATCTGAATTATGGAGCTGTGATTCCTGGCCAGAGGTAGCCACACCAGTAAAATTTCGTAATGGAGATAAAAGTTAATCATAGAACTGTTTTTTGTTTTTTGTTTTTTTTTTTAACTAGCATAGCTCATTTTGCCAAAGGAGGAAGATTACTTTCCTCCACAGTTATCCATAAAGCTACATTTTGTATCCTTACATTCACACTACGGATGTTTCCTTATTAGAGTATGCTAAAATTCCTAGTTTGATAGAGCTGTTCTAATGTAATTATAGCTATAACTATATTGAAGTAGAAGGTTGCTTTTGTTTTGGGAGTTTTGAATAGTTTTATGAAAAATTGGTAGAAGGCCTGGGAGAGAACTGTAACTTCCAGGAAGTACAGTTAAGTCAATTTACATTAACAAAAAAGACTTTCTTTCTTGTATAGTTTGTTGTTAGGGGATATGACTTAACAAAACGAGATGGCAAGAAGATGAGAGTGACTGTTCTGCTGCTTTAGGAACTATAGTTCCCTGTTAAGTAGGTTTGCTAGTATAGCTTTATTCACCTGGGTATCCTGGCTAACAGATGAGTTTGATCTAACCATTATTTGTGTACAAGTTATACTCATATTTTATATTGGTCTTTCATTCAAAAGTTTCCTAATCTAACCCTTTTTTTCAACATCCTTTACTATGTTAATATTTAATTTGCTATTATGATGATGGGCACCCCAAAATTTAACTTCTAACTTGGTGGCTCTTTGATCGTTGTGCTTCTACTTAAATTATATGTGTGGTCGTGATCAAAAAAATACTTATTTTGGCAGAACAGTGCCAGAATCATGCATGTGTCCTTTGGCACTCAGGGTTCCCAGGCAAGTTCGTAAAGAATAAAGTAGTGTTGAACCTTCTTGAGTTCCCTCTCCTGTCCATGTCAGCAGGATGGAACCCAGGTAGTAAGAAATACCATTGTCTTCTGTTCCTGTATTAAAACAGGACCTTAAAAATTTCAGTTTTGGTACCAGGCCTGTGCACTCTGTGTAGTGGGAAGATGCCATTACAAAGGGTCAATAAAGATTTTTTTGAAAAGGCGTAGCCACCCCAGAATACACACTTAATTGCGTGGCTCACCAGCACCAGCAAGCATTTGCAAGTCTTAGTGCAGCAAAATGAATACCAAAGGGCTGAGATGGAAAATGCGGCTATTAGCATAGGCTGGTAAAACCTGTTGTCCTATTACAGCGATGCAGCTGAGTATAAGGATGTCCAAGGTATGAACAAGATTTGCTTACTCTGTGACTGTCTCAAGCCTGCGGGCAATTGATTCTAGTGGGAGAAATAAGTGAGAAAGAGTTACCACAGAGTTGTGTTGAAAAATATAGGACAATTATTGGTGGTGGGAGAACTTCCAACACCTCCAACTTCCAAAATAAAGATGCCATTTCCCTAAATAATCTTCACAGAGCTATCAGTAGCTCCAGAGTAGCTGAGTTGCATCTGGACTGTGGCAATCTCTGATTGTTGCACCTTGTGAACCATTTTGCCATTTCAGCAGAACTTGCTGTTGGAACTGTGGTCCATGCAGTCATTAAAAAAAAAAAAAAAAAACTGGCATATATTGCATGAGTATATCAACTCTATATTATTTTAGCAGACCATTGGCTGTACTGGATGCATGAAATTCCTTTGAGGTATTAAA